GCCGGAAAACCTGTGCTAGTGCACAGAAAAATGAAAGCACAGAGCCAAAGCGTCATATCGTCAAAGAATTGTTTTGGTTGCAGTACAAGAAAGTATGTAAATTCGTCATGGAACGTCTTTGTCATCGACTTTCCCAAAATCATTCTCAAATTTCATTTCTCTCACAACTGAACAATTTCATTTCTATGGTTATTGCAATAATTCTCATCACGACGACCGCAACCGAAGCAGCAGATTACAAAAAACGTGCGAAATTGCCCATTGAAGGCGTTTAGCCTTCACGCATAACTGACAATCGAAATCTCATTACAACGTTCTTTTTCGTTTCTTTAATCCACCACAATTAATTCTCCCATAGTGCAATTATTTATCACTGACGATCTTAAGAGGACACCGTACGGCACTTGAGAACCATTCAGCATACAGGGATGGATAACCCACACATATATCTGCCACACAATAAAAGAGCAATTCATCCTATATTCAGCAATTCCGTATAAATCAAAATTATCAAAATATAAAGAACTGCATATTTTCAGAATGTNCCCAGGTGTATAGCGCAATACAAAGTGAACGATGGAGCAATTGATTGTGCCTCAGGGTTTGACGAGGGTTAGTGAAACTCGAATGACTAATTCCGAAATATTCAATCATGAAAGCAGTTCGTGAGACTGAATGCATGCACTGAATGCGAAAATGTATACAGCTCGGTAAAATGCATCCTATATGTGATGGTATCGGAGCATATTTGTATGCAACTGTAATTATTCATTTCTAATATGAGCAAAGTTTTTTGAGAGGATTCCTCACTTCAGCGTGATTTGATGAATGAAAAGTTAGTGAATAATGTGAAATTTCAGGTTGTGCGCCGCATAATTTCGTATGCGCTGATAAAAGTGCGTGCGTAGAATTCTCAAAGTATCAGGACGGTATCGCTCATTGTAAAGATAAATCCGATGAACGTATGTGATTGATTTTATTTCAGAGTATTTCCCAAATCACCACCAGTTCTCTCCCATAATTATGCGATATTGTTCAATCGGAAAAAAACAATGCCTGAAGTGAGAAATAATTAAGTGACATAACAGGAAGTGAATGCATGATATGTTACAGCATGCCCAGCAGGTCATTTTCTATGTGATGATCACTCAAAGTGTATCGATGGAAGTCGATTTCAAGACGGAAATGTTGACTGTAAAGATGGATCTGATGAAGGTTAGTTCGTTCGTCAGGGTTCTTAGTTGTTTTCGTCGAATCATTGCCGAATATTCGCCGCACCAA